ATACAATCACAGGCATGTACTACTAAGCCTGCTAGTTTTTTCTTTCTAACCATCTTCCTCCTGATATCTTTCATCAGTGTATCAGACTCTATTTCTGTTTTCTCTGTGTGAGCCTCCTGCCTCAGCCTCCTGAGTTCTGGGATGATGGTTCTCTCCTTACATCAATCCTCTCCTCTACCAACCACCAAGACCTCCTGCCCTTTCCACACTCTGGCCAACAAACACTTACCTAATAGTGCAGACTTGTCGGCAGTCTGGCAATTGGTTTGGTGGCTTCCTGGTGTACCATTTTTCTCCCTGGTTTTTTGTGTTCTCAATCCATTTACCTGTTCTCTTTCACGGGGGTGGTCTGTGAGTCTATTTTCAGGTAAGGTTGGACCTAAAACACATTTTGATTTATAGATGCTTTATTTGACCCTTGTATCAGCCATGGCCTGAAAATACAAATCATTCTAAGTATTTAAAACAGAAAGCATATGATTCCATTCATAGAAGAGCTGAGAGGTTCTCCTGAAAGAACACAGTAAACAGGAAGCTGGGAGAAGACTGAAGGAGGGGCCTGGGTGGGGAGTGTCGCAGGGTGATGGCAGGGATGCAGCAGCTGCCGGAAATGCTCCCCAAGCAGTAATAGGGCTGCACCAGCTTCACCCCTACTCCAGTTCTCCAAAATTTTCCTGCCTTACATGTTAGGAACTCTGTAGGAAGCCAATAAGCCCTGAAAGTTGGCCAGGAAGATGGCAGGTGGAGGCGGAGCAGAGCAGGGAGGCGGAGGACTGCACGGCTGGCCTGGTGGTGAACCTCCCCTGGACATTGTCAATTCCACCCCACTTTGTTCTCCCCAACCTCAGTGATCCACGAATGCATAAATATGCTCTTTAGTGCAGTGGCATTCTTGTCACATATTGCTAGTTTTCTAAACAAAGTAAGTTATGGAAGAAGTGATTTAAAAAGAAACAGTAGAAGCTTAATATGGTACATGCACCCGGGAACATGTTTTGTATCACCATCCTCAACTCCATTTATGCTGAAGATCGCAATTTTATGAATTTTTGCATGAAATTTATATATGTTGCCTGGAAAAATTCAAGGAAGAAGAATCAGAAAAGTTTTTATTGTGATCCATTCTTATGCACTATGAGGCATGAAAGGATTAAAGACATCATAGTACAACTGTTCTGCTGATTTCTGCTGGTCTATGGAAAGGAGCAGTTAATGCTTACATTTTTTCCTTAATTTCTTATAACTTTTCTTCTCCAATTTTGCACGCATATATCTGGTAATATAAACAA